GGTCTAAAGCTTTATAAAAAGAACTCTAATAGATTCTGTGTCTCTGTGAGTAATGAGGTCCAACATCTGTTTGCTTTTGGAATGCCATTCATTTGGAATAAATATAAAGCTGGAATAATCACAAAAGCAACAGCTGAAACAGTGCTGTTAGATCATTTTGGTCCAGAATGGTTCCATTCCAGAAAATGTAATTTTGTTCTCTAATGGATGTCGTCCAAGACTCTGCCAGCTCACTTCCAAGTCTTTGTCATTTCCGCTTAGGAACTAATTCCACTGGGAGTTAAATTACTTCATTGTCGGCATAGTTTTTCTTGATATTTTCTTTCCTGGACTTCTCCCTGTTCTATATATAGACTAATACATGACACTTAATTTTCTCTTTCTGCTTGGCTTTTGAGCCCTACACACATCTAAGTTGTTAGTGTCTGTATATTTTGACTTACTATTTTCTCAATTTGTCACACAAATATCTGTTACTGTTGCTCTTCTTCACTAGCAGTGACTTACCAGATTTAGTGTAGGGCTCCAGTCATACACTGTATAATTCTTTACTCAAAACATGCATGACCTTGCTTACATTTGATGTCAACTTCTTAGGTTTTCTTTCCAATGTTGTAAACATAACTAAAACAGAGTTCGTGTCTCATTTGCTGCTCACTATCACATCTATCATCTTCCAAGGCCTTGGCTTCTCTGGAGACACTGGAAATCTCTGATTATCTTCAACAAGGTCAGGTTGCCATTAGTTAGGCACATGTATTTGGATAGGTCTACTTTAGGAAAAATTTGGTAATATTTGACTGTATTAAAGAAATTATATTAACTAAGAGCTCTGAGCGTCATAGTTTTTTAATGAAGTAGTAACCATCATTTATTAATTCCCATTGATTTTAATTTATTGGCAAAATACTGATACCTCTCAGATGCATGAATAGATTCTCATTTATTTTCTTTAAAGATTACTTTCTGAAAGCAGAAAATGGCAACAGGATTTTTTGTTCTACTAAATCATTTTCACTTACAATGCGCAGCGCAAAGGTGTTCTGTTTCATAAGACTCCAAGGCACAGCTGTTTTACAAGAAAAATTAACTGAAGAGTCATTTTCCCTTCCAATCTCTTGGTCCCTAGACCAGCTCTTGCTCCTAGACATGAGGGAACATAACATCAATCCCAGATTAGTTTATCAAACTTTTTAGCACAATAAATTTCTTTTTAAAATTTTGTTCAACCAAACTGTAGCATCTATAATTTTGTGCTATATTGTGAAAAATTGATATATATCAGAACTGTAATTACTATGTTGATTACTATGATAATTTTACCCTTTTCTCTAAATCCTGATGGTTTAAGATGGACAGAATTCAAGTTCTTCAGTCTTTAACATCTTAATTCTCCTCACTGTTTATTCTGAAATCATGTACTACAGTGGTGTAGTTCTAGAAACTGATACACTCTATTGTCTGCTGATTCCCGATCTAAAACTTTACTCACTGTATATTTCTTAATAATTTTCAGTCGTCTTCTTTGCTCATTTCATGCTTCAGTAGGCAATTTCTAGGCCAGGTTTAATGGGGCTTTAAGAAACATGGTCTAGTGGGAAGTGTCCCTGCCCATGGCACAGGATTTGGACTAGATGATCTTTAAGGTCCCTTTCTACTCAAACCATTCTATGATTCTATGATTCTGTGAGGATTAAGGATAATAATGCCAATGTACTGGTTGAATCTCAGAAGAGACCAGTAAACAGTAGTACACTGTATTAACTAAGCTTTTGAAAATACTGTAAAGGAACTATTATGTATTCTATTTTTCCACTGTATACCCAAAGCAAATATTTGCATTGATTAATAATATCCTTGTGCTACTGATACCTTTCATAATCTGTACAGATCTTTTACTGTTCTGGAACAGAATTGAGTGATATGGGTTTCACATTTAAGCTGCTTACTTAGGTCCTTCAGGATTATGCTTCTAGTTGCTCTTTTTTTTTTAATTCTGGTTTTGAAGATTTTGAGGGACAAATCAACACTTTCTCTGACCTGCTGCTCGATAGGGAAAATTATCTGGAATGCTATCACTTTCCATAATTGCTGCCAATAATATACCAGGTTAATTTTACTCCCATAGTGTCTTCCATGCAAGCTTCTTTATATTTTATAGATTAATAAACTTTTGCAACTAATGTCTATTTTAAAATATGAAATAAATAAAGAAGTCAAATAACAAAGATTACCCAGATTCAGGAAAATATATTTGTTTATATATGAAAACATACAGGACATGACATCCATCTAAAAATTATCTGGTTTTGAATTGTTGAAACAAGATTCTATCCAGTTTCAATGCAGCCTAGTGGATGGCTAACAGTTATAGAAGGTTAATATTTCCTCTGAGTTTATTTTTAGATTACTAATTGTTATCTGATCATTTTAACAAATACCTCTCAGTTAGCCGTTGTTCATATTTCAAGAATAGTACTTACAGCAGCAAGTAAAACAGCAGTTAAAATCCAAGCTGAATTTAATATTATATATTTATATCACATATCTCTTTAGAGCTTAGAAAATTCACCCTCGAATGCCTGGCTTAGCCACAGAAAGGATAATTAGAGATTTGTTTTCTCTGAGGACTCTGAACCTAAATTAAGCTTAAAGTGGAAGCTGTACTTGGATGCCATAACAAGGGATACAATGCAGAATGAACTTATTCCATCAGTAAAGCTGAAATAATGAAAACTACTGAAGTATAACTTTATAGGCAGGAAAAGGGAAAAAAAATTGAGTACAATACTTACACTGAGAAATCTATTTTAGAAAACTGAGAAATCTATTTCTGTAAATATTTCCTCCTGTCCTAAAGATACTACTGCAGAAACACTTTCCACTTAGGAGTTTTTTGAAATAATTGCTTCCTCTTTAGAAGTTATATTAGCATAAATGAGCCAAGAAGTCCCCAGAAATGGTCTTGATGGAGCTGGCATTCAATCCCAGAGGCAAGATGTCAAATCAAACTGGCATGTGGCTACAAACACTGCATCATTGAACAATATATATAGAGAGAGCATGGTTCACAAAACAACAGCTGTTTCCATTACAGCTGAGTGATTTTTCAGACTGAGGGAAGTGCGTGAGCATGGGAGAAATGAAAATTGGTGAACCTCAGCCAAGCCTGAACAAACCATGCCAAGTTTTAGGAAAGGCTTGGTAAACAGTCCTAGCACCTCATGCCACAGGTGCTGCCAGTAAAGTTCAGCACCTATGGAGATGGCACTCCATTCCACCTTTCCTGCTAAGTCCTGTTCCTGATTCATGCACCTGCCCCAAGAATGGTTTTGATCAGTAACCAGTAAATCAACCTTATCTGCTCTTTAGACTACAGCCTTTAAAAAATTGGCAAAATCTCTTGTCCCATCACAATCTCTTAGTGTCCTTAGTTATTTAACCATTACACAAAATCTGTACATTAAATACAAAATTTAGTAATTCATAGAAATGTAGAGTAACTGAGGCTGAAAGTTGTTTTGTTCAACACTCTGTGCCTTAAATTGTCAGAGCCATCTCAGATCACGTTGCTTAGATCATTGAATACTTCAGATCAAAAGAGATCTTTGAAGCTCATCTAGTTTAACCCCCAACTCAAAACAGAGCCACCTTCATAGTTGAGGTTCATGGAGCTTCTCAGGTTGAGTTTTGGATACGTTCAGAGATGTTCCACAATCTCTAACTTCAGTCGTTCCTAACCACTCATGTAAAATACTATTTTTTCCTTGTGTTCAATTGCAATTTTCCTTGCTGAAAACTGTGATTGTCACTTCTGATCATTGGCTGTGGATGTATCAGGAAAGTCTTCTCTAGCTTCTCCATACCCTCCCTTTGTAAAGCAGAATCATAGAATCACAGAGTGGTTTGGTCTGGAAGGGACCTTAAAGATCATCCAGTCCAACCCCCTGCCACGGGCAGGGACACCTCCCACTAGACCAGGTTGTTCAAAGTCCTGCCCAACCTGGCCTTGAACACTTACAGGGAGGGGGCATCCACAACTTCCCTGGGCAACCTGTGCCAGTGTCTCACCACCCTCACAGTAAAGAATTTCTTCCTAATATCTAGTCTAAATCTACCCTTTTCCAGTTTAAAACCATTCCGCCTCGTCCTATTGCTACCTGCCTTGGTAAAAAGTTCCTCCTCAGTTTTTCTGTAGGATGCCTTTGGGAACTGGGAGACTGCAATAAGGTCTCCCAGCAGCCTTCTCTTCTCCAGGCTGAACAGCCCCAACTCTCTCAGCCTGTCCTCATAGGGGAGCTGCTCCAGCCCTCTGATCATCCTCATGGCCCTCCTCTGGTCTCACTCCAACAGCTTGATGTGCTTCTTGTTTTGGAGGCCCAAGAATTTCACACAGCACTCCGGGTAGGGTCTCATGAGAGCAGAGGGCAGAATCACCTTGTAGATATCAAAGAAACATCAAGCAAGTTTATAGATCATCCCCCACACAGTGTAGTAAAGCAGATTAGGTTGTTAGCAACTTAATCTGAGTTGAGAAAACTTGGAACCTTTTCTAGTCCCAACTCACCAGCTATTTTCGTAGAGGTGTTGGTTGAGACCTTTAGCAAAGATTATCCTAGAGAACTTTAGCTGAATTGAAGAAATGTGTCCACATAAATTTCAATACTTTTATACAGTTCAAGGAAAGCTGGTAAGCTCTCCAGAGGAGAAATTCTGTCAATGAAAATGGGTTTTTGCAATGACAAACTAAAATTGCACTTGCAATAAATTTTTGTAGTCTCTAATGGAAATTTGACTAGTGGCTGGGAGTATATTTATCTTCATCTTCATCTTCAGCAAAGTTTATTAAAATATGAAGACATCTATCAGTCATGCTTTGTTCTTATACTGGTATTAATACAACTAACTAATACAAGATTTTCTTTTCTGCTTGCTTGTTTAAAGCTACAAAATATGAACATATGTATCAAAGGTCTCACCTGTACCATCTCTTGTAACAGGTGGGGAGTGTTACCTGACAGAAATGGACAAAAACAGAAGTTCTGGGTAAATGAAGATTTTGCACTGTATTTTGAGCCAGAAGAAAATATCTCTACAACACAGATTATCTAAAACCAACTTCTTTCCTTTCATTCACCTTCTGCATCTGTTCATTCTATTCCTTTTCTGGCAACTTTTATCATGCTGATCCTTGAACTACAGCCTCATCTACCTCTACTTCAAATCCTGTTTCATCCAATCTCTCACCTATATCTGTGTTTTTTCCTACATTGTCTTTTCTGTCTCAAATCTTATTCAAATTCTCAAATGTTACTCAAATTTCCCATGAAGTATTGGTTCCTTTTGTTGACTGCAAATGAGACTCAATAAAAGTAATCAATGTTATTTGTTAAAACATTTGGAAAAGACAAGCTATCTGTTTAAACAGCTTTTGCAAATGCTATCCAGCTATGAGAAAAAAAAATTTAAACATTGTAAGTCAGATTTTATCTTTTTGGTTATCATTTACAGCGCATCTCATTACTCCTTTTTCAGCAGAAGGTAATTTAGAGTTTGCATAGTTGGTGGCAGGGCTTATAGAAACAGAATCATAGAATGTTTTGGCTGGAAAAGACCTTTTAAGATCATTGAGTACAGCCATTGAACCAGCTCTACTAAGTCTGCCACTAGACCATGTCCCTAAGCATGACATCTGTTCATCATTTAAACACCACCAGGGATGGTGATTCAAACCACCTCCCTGGGCAGCCTGTTTCAATGCTTGACAACCCTTTCAGTAAAGAAATTTCTCCTGATACCCAACCTAAACCTCCTCTGGCACAACTTGAGGCCATTACCCCTGTTCCTATCACTAGCTACTACAGAGCAGAGACTGAGCCCCACCTCACTACAACCTCCTTTCAGGTAGTTGTAGAGGGTGATAAGATCTCCCCTCAGTCTCCTTTTTTCCTGACTAATCAATTCCAGCTCCCTCAGCCGCTCCTCAGATGGTAGGTAGTTTCACTGATATCAACAGGGCAAAACTTCTGACTTCATTAGAAACTAAATTGCTCAATATGTCAATAGCTAACTGAATAAAACCTAATTTATTAAAAGTCAACTTTTTTGTATCTTGGGTGTCTCTTTAACAGATCAGATGTAATTAGAATTTTGACCATTGTTGTTTCAATGACCACTTTCTCCACCCAATATTTGAATTATCTAATGATTTCAGCTTCAATTTATCAAACTGCCTTGTAGAAATTGTATTCTGTTTTTATTAACCCTGGGTTTGGAATTGAAATTTTGATCAAAACAAAAAGGAACCAATGATTAGAAATCAGAAAGGGTTGGATTGTGATTCTCAGTGTACCAAATCTGAGAAACTCTTTTTAGAAAAGGAAACTAATTCAAAAGATTCATTTTGTATTTTACATCTTGCATTTTAAAATTAAAATTGATATTTTTTCCTCTTTGTTTTTCTTTAGATTGCTGCAAATTCCTGGGGAAAGTCTTGGGGAGAAAATGGTTATTTTAGGATTCTACGTGGACAAAATGAGTGTGATATTGAAAAGCTGATTTTAGCTACTTTGGGATAGCCATAGTCTTCTACTGTAATTGTATTGTACTGTACTCTGCTTTATGTACCTGTTCTTTCCATTGTTGCATATTGAGTCTTTCTAGAGAAATAAAAATATCTTCTCTGTAAGTTACCTTTCTTTCTATTATGGCTCATCAGGGCTTCCTGGCTTGAACACACTGCAGCCATCATAACACTCTCAGACCTCACCCGATACAAACCTTCGTCCGAAGTTGTATCCAGGACTATGGAAAACCTTGGTGTCTCACAGAGCAGAAAGTTCCCTCTTCTGTTATGTACCAGTTACCTCACCACTATTTTGTTATTTTACTTCTGGCTGATTCAACAGTGCCTGAAATAAATGAAGTTACATTGTTAATATTAATCTCTTTACAATACATACTCTGGTCACAAGTCATTTAAGAAATATTGTTCTTCCACACAGGATTGGCTCAGACAGCTCATGGACATACCGGATAAAAAATTCCAAAGAAATGGGAGTAGTTTTCTGACCCTGTTGCAGAATAATTATTTCCTATCCTAGCTTAGATAAGTTGTTTCTATGTATCATTATCTCTTCCAGGAAATTATTTTTTTACTAGTAGATCCCACAAAGTCGACGCATTTAGAGTAATAAAAAAATTACTTGCAGTGAAACAGCATATTCTTGTTCCTACAACCACAACTAAAAATGTACAATTTTAATAATTTAATTATAGGAAAATAAAGAAGAAATAGTAATTTCCCCTCAATAAAGTCTAGACTAGACTAATTCCTGAGCTGCTTGTCTTCCACTCACTATTTAACGTGAAGACAGACATGTGACACCGTTCCCAAAAGCCTGTTTCCAACAGAAAAAGATGGAAAAGACATTCTGTTGCTTGTCTCCACGGATACATCTGTAGTCCAGGAACCATTCTGAGTGTTGGCCAGCAGTATCATTGGGGCAGACAAGACACCCAGAGCCCCTTTCACTCCTAAAGCTCCTTAACAGTAAACAAAGAATTTCCAGTGCATTTTGTTCTAGAAATAATGAAGCATAGTCTATTAAAGACACTGAATTAAGAACTTGACTTCCAATATTAGCAGAGCAGTAAAAGCTTTTCCTTCAAGAACTTTTCATGGTGGTAGTATACAACACATGTCCTTGTCATTGAAATAATGTCTCTCAAACTAAATTTGGGTCACAATGTATGTTGCATCGCTACTGAAAGAGCTGTTATTAGAATGTTAGTATCATACTGCTGCACAACAAGCTCTTCTGTGGCCTCTAGTGTCGTATGATAAACTGAATTTAGACACAAAACCTATTATCACTTGAAATGTATAGCAAAACACAAGCAATTTTAGAAGAGCTAAGTGCTCTGAGATAAGATGGAAATTTTCTAGGTTTAGTGAAATATACCATTACTCGAGAGGAAAGTGTGCTGAGCCATCTACACAGCTACTTCTCAACCTCTTGGTATGTATTGATTTCATAAATGTCAAGATTTCAAAAGAGTACAATTTACCTCTGAAGTAAATGAAACTGTAAAAACATATCCAGTCAACTCCAGCTTGTTTTGGATTTTTTCATTGAACAAGTTGGTTTGCTCTGCTGTAGCTCTTACTTTTGTCAGTGGTTGTTGTTACTCCTGACTTGCTTGTGAGACCTTTCTAGCATCTGGGCTGTCATCTTAAGTTTTTTCAGTGATGAGAAAGTTCAGAACTAGTCTCCTAGATCTTTACCTGATCAAATGGTCATCTTGGCTTGAATGAAACACCATATGCAAGTGAAATAACTCCAACTACGTCAAAGCAATTTAATGGTTTGGAAAGTGATACTGCTTTACCCACCTTCTGAGGTTAATCTTTGGTGCTCTGAGCGACGTATGTGCTTAGCACCCTCTCCATACTCCCTCAGTATCATAAAGCTGCTGTCTGTGGAAATGCCACAGTACTCAGAATTTAATAGACAAGCAAATGTATCTGCTAATTTGGAAGCCGATTTGCTCTTTGAAAACAACCTTGATGCTGAGGCAGCTATTCTGCTGTTATTCAGAGCACAAGTAAAGGATGTCCTGCCAGTGCAGGTCTTCTCACTAACAGTGATCCAAAGACAGTGGGGCCTGCAAGCCACTAGCAGCTCTGCCTCACACAGACTACCTGGAGGCAGATTTTAAATGTCAGAAGGGCTCTGAGCTCTTGTAGTCCACTATTTGGTAGGAGTAAGACAAAACTTGCTCTTCATTAGGATGCCACCTCTCTCATTTCTCTCCTTTTTTTTTTTTTGGCCTCTTCATCTCCTCTCCATGCTCAGCCATGCTTGCTAGCTTGGACAAAATGTGTCATCTAGCCTGGAGCTTTTTCCTGTATGAATAGAAAGGAACAAGACATGGCTCAGGTTAATTCAATGAAGAGCTCAGCACCTTTAATCACTGGCATTACTAATGATCTATGGGAACTGCAGAAAAGGGTGGTACCAGGAAGGGAAGACAATGCAGGAGTGGCTTGTGTTTGTGACATGGTGTAAGTTTCCTTTTCCATAAAAACAGTAAGGTAACATTTTTATGGCAAGAAAAACAATTAAATCTCCACTGAGATTATACATTACAATATTTCTTGTTAACATGCAATATGAGATATGAAGTTTTGATTAGTTGTCAGTCAAACTGTGAAACTCTAAAACTAGGTATAGAAATAGCTAGAAGAATATATGCCTCGGAACCTGAAAACTCCCTGCTGAAATTCCTGTACATTTAGAAACAGATTCAAATAGAACTCTGAACAGAAATATTTATGAACTTTGGGAGAGTTTGAATCTTTCCAATATTAACTGAGCAGAACAGCCTCCTTTTGTGACTTATATTGATCATCTTTCAAGGCTTTCCCACAACCAGATCCTAAATGTTAGACAGAATCTGATAGATGAACACTGTTAATGTCCTTTGAGGTGGCTTTAAGTGGAAATTAATTTTAAAATTAAAATGGCAAACAAGTCAATAAAGGCACCCAGCTATTTTCATGCTATTGTAAAGGAACACAGCTATTTTCACACTACTGTTACTCTTTCTCCATCCTATTGTTATAGAAACATCACCCACCTGCCAAATTATAATAAATCACACTCTGAATACTAGCTTCTTATGCTATGGAAAGTGCTATCAAGCATGGCAATATTCTGTGAGTGAATCATTTTGTTTGCAAACAAGTGCCAGGCAAGCATTAAATTCCTGAAGGTGATTGCTCTGCTGGGGGGCCTGAGTCACACCTAGACACTGTCACAGGGACCTGCCTCTACACCTGACTCCAGTTAAAGATTTTGGTGGGACTGAGAGGCACCAAAAGCTCCTTTTCTACCTTGCTAGCAATCTCTGCACACAACTTGACAAGGCTAGGTTTCCCCAGCACTTGAGTTTGTTCATCATTAGGAAGTCTGAAAATTGATAACACTTGCCATAATAGAGATTTTAATTTCATGTTACTATTTCAGAATTATACACTATAAAACTACTTTTACAGAGCCATACAATAACATTAAAGCACAGTATGTGCATACTTCTGCTAAAATTAATTGAGAAAAAGAGAAGAATTTGAACATCTCACATAATGAGCACAATTGCTTCAGAACAAAAAGCTGAAGGCAGCCAGGCTGCAAAATGAGGTTGGCGCAGAGGGAAAGGTTTTGCCAGTGTGGAATTTAAATGCTTCAAATTATGGAAGAAGTAGGGCAGATGGACACCCTCCTGAATGCTGTCTTCAGAGAACTGAGAGGCCCTGTCTCAGCACTGTGTTGTTGGTATCCTGCCTTTAGCTGGGGGGTATAATATGTGGCTTGGATTTTACCTCTCTGCTGCTTACTGCCTGTACCTTTCCCTTAAGAGGCTGTGGCTAGGAAAAAGGGAAAAGATTTTTAGGGTGCTTGTTCTGTCCCAGATGCTGGGGCTGAACTCCTTCTAGGACAGCTTCTCCTGGGCATGCTGAGCTTAGGGGAGCTGCTGGACTTCAAGTTGGCAGCCAGCACTTGGACTCAAAGCCACACCATTTTATTCATAGCTTAGCACAACAAATACCGTGTTAGGGGGGAATGTAACCTAAAGCAAGCAGAAAGAGACACCCACGGGATATAAGGAACTTGCATCCGGAGCAGGGACTAGATGAGCCCTGAGAGAAGTGACAAGGGGGCCATTTTCCTCTGGTTCCAGGGATCAAGGAAAGATGCCAGCCTAAGAGCAAGGCTGAAGAAAAGAAGCTACACTTCTAGAAACCAGAGATAGAGGGAGATCTGCTTGTAAATCCTTTAAACTTAATGTTTCACTAGAGACGTGACAGGATCTTGCACCTGAGCACTCAGTGCTGCACACTGGTAACCGTTTGGTAACCGTTTGGTAACCGTAACACACATTTGGTAACCGTTTCCTATGTGAACAACTGATTACATCTTTGCACCCATTCCTCACTCAGAGTGAGAGCCGTATAGCAGGGACCTCCGCTTCTTATAGCAGCAACTTGTTATTAGGGGATATTAAAGGCAGAATGAATACAATGAAAAAAAATTTTCGCTTTTCTTTATAACAGTGTAGATGTCAAATACTCATACCTTATTACGTACATCAGTGAATGCTATTACTTCATCTATAAAATTTATGACTGTGTCTGTAAATCTTGATCACAGAGCAGCACCACGCAAAGCTGTTCCCTGAGCAGGCAGCTGTGGGAGAAGCCTGGGGTCAGAAGCAGGAGCTCAGACTCTGCTCACCACAGAAATCCTCAGTGCTTTATAGATTTTGGGAGCACTTGAAGCCATGAACTAAAATTCAGGGTTATCTGGAGGTATTATGTCACTGTGCCAACAGTGACAGACATACAAACACATAGATAGGAAATAATGAATTTAAACTACAGCCTTTATCTAAGCATAACTGCATTTCCATTGCAAAACTCTGAAGACTATTCTCTTTTTTCTCTTCAGCTAAACCAGCATAAAAGCACTGATTTAGTGCATTGCATCTATCAGGTCATGATACACAGCACAATGTTTTATCAAAGGAAAAGTTCTAAAAAACTTATACTTAAAAGACAGACACTTAGCTCTAGTGTGCTGTACTTTCGTAGTGTGAAGGACTCAGCTGATGGTCCAGATTCA